AAACCGCTTTTGAAAATATTAAGCCATTCCAGAGATATTTAAATTATAGCCGGGAACAACATTTCTATACGATCTATACATGTTAACTATATATGAAACCATATTCAATGAAAACGCACAAAATGTGACACTTTTTTAATGTTTGATAATTTCAAAACTGGTTTATAAGTTATCAATTTTATAACTTATCTTATCGGATAATCTCAAAATATACTTTAATCTTGATACATTTTTAATTGGGACTAATAGCTAGACTAATTGATTATAAAATGAATCCGTGCTGTTTACATTGTAGTAAAATGGGGTATAATTGAACCTGATTGATTAAATGCAGGTAATATCTTTAATGTGAAATAAATAAAATTAAAATAAAATTCATTAAACTTACAATTAATGCAATTAAAAGTGAGGGGAATAGGGGTCATATCGCTCTCCCATACGACTAACCCTTTGTGCGACGCTTTCACCACTTTTTGATTGTCGGACGCAATGAGTGAACGATCCCTTCGTTTGGCGCTAAAGCAGACGTTCAGTGAAACAGACGATCACTAAAGCGAATCCTAATATATACATACCTAATATATATACATACATATATATATATATATATATAGTTTCATATATAGATTTAAACCAAAGCCTAAAAGATCCAAAGGGTCCATAGATTTGTTCGCTTACGAAGATTACGAAGACATGCCTCCTCTGCCAAGACATCGTATACTCAATGACCACATTTTAGGTCTTATATTCGCTAAGCTATCGGTGAAACAGTTGTTACGACTCGAGAGGGTTAGCCACCAATGCATGGCTGCCGTGGGAAGTGCTCTGAAGAGCTACGCGAATGGCTTTTATATCGGACCCGATCTCGAGAACGACGAGAAATTCGTGGAACCGTTCGCTCGCAAAGTGCAGCAAACGATGTCGAGGAATGGCTCGCAAGCGGTCGATATCAGTGACCAGTTCTTTGTGTTGCAAATCATCCCAATTAAGATCCCCGAGAAGTACGATGTGGTCGGAGATATCCGATACGATTTGGTGGCCAATAGACGGGCGCTGGAGATAATACTCCAGAAGTGCCCGAACATCGAGTCCTTGTATTTGTTGAACGCGCGGGTCAGTCTTGAGATAATGGAGCTAATAGTCACCCGATGTCCGTGTCTTAAGTACCTATCACTGGTCCATATCGGGTGTATGAGTCCGCAGAAGTTTTGGAATCAGTCGGGAAAGCCTACTAATGATAAGTTCTATTGGTTTGGTTCCCAAGAATTGGCACAATTGTGTGGTATTTGTATCGATAAGAAGCTCACGAAGAATGAGTTGACCGTTCAGTTGGTGGACGGCATGCCTCAGATAGTGATCGACAAATTGAATGCAATGAATGTCACGATTCCCGACAACTTTCACATCAAATCCATTGATGAATGAATGTGTGGTGCGAGTGATGATCTACTGCTGTATAACCCTGGTCATAGGTGTTGAAAATATATCTGTTTTTTAAACTAACGATAAATTTAGTTTACATGTGTTAACACATTATGTAGAGTTTTGTATTAATTTTGTTTTAATGGGAATAAAGTAATTTACTAACATTTAAAGTCAAATATTTTAATATTACCGTAAAATACAATTTATACAAATAATTTAAATCCTTTGAATAAAATTATTGATAAGAAAAGTTTTCTAATTTTTACAGTTATTCAGTTATTCATTAGAGTATCTAGGTGAAGTTCACAATTGTATAAAGACTAATTGTCACCAATTGTATGAATGAATAAACCAATATTTACTGTTATTACCAGTACTGTACAGTAATACAGAATAAATAAGAATAATGTATTTCACGTAACTGTACTTGTTAAGTTTACGGTTCAGTCACGTGACTCAGAGCAACCAATCCAATGGATTGTGCCATAGATTGTGACGTCATTACAGGTATTGCTTAAGACTTTGGATTTATTTGTTTTTGACAAAAATCATAAAAATATTATTCAATTCGCAAAGCATTTAAGCCACGAATGAGTGATTCATTTGATTTGCATTGCAATGAGTTATGCATTGAATGACTTAACACTTCCTTCACTCATATAATTATAAATTGACGTCAAATATAATACTTTTAGATTGTGTCCACAGATATCAGTGCAACCATTCAATCACTCAATCATATGGCTATGAAATATGGACAACACATCCACTCCAAGACATCACATCATGAATGACGATATATTGTGTCTTATATTCAATGAGTTATCAGTGAAACAGTTGTTGCGATTAGAGAGGGTTTGTCACCAATTCATGGATTGCGTGGGAAGTGCTCTCAAGAACTTCAAGAATGGGCTCATTATTGGAAAGAATTGTTTTGATGACAATAATCCATATGATTTTTATGGGCCATTGCTTGACCCTGGTTATGGTGCTCCACATCAGAGTGTAGTAAATAAGCGAAATGATGTCAATTTAGATATGAGTCGAGCTTTTCATGTCCACCGATACGTACCACACGAAGAGCTCAACAGATATCCGTTTTGTCGCATAAACCGCGGGTTAACTCGAGTGATAAGACCCGTCCCTCCCGTGGGATCCGTTCCCTCAGTTCCTCCCTCTTCTCATGTCATTGATTACTACGATTTGATTGAATACAGACACAAATTGCAGGCAATTATCAGTAAGTATCCCAACATTGAGTCCATGTTTTTGTCGAACTGTCGTATGGATAGCGAGACAATGGAACTCATTATCACCGGATGTCTACATCTCAAGCGATTAACGCTCAATGGTATTTGATATCTGAATGGCAGCTATGTTTAGGTTATTATTTTAATGATTAATTAATATCCATTGAAAGTGCGATATCCTGCGCAAGAATTAATGGCATTTTGTCGCATATGTATTGAGCAAAGAGTGGCGACCAATGAGTTCACACTTTACTTCAATGAAGACGTCTTTCCGCAAGTTATCGATGGTTTGCAAGCAATGAATGTCTCGATTCCCGACTACTTTCATATTATTTCTCGATGAATGTGTTGTCCAAACAATTATTACTTCAGTAATGATTGAATTCTCATTTAATAAATCTTTATTTGATAATAAATCAATAACCCTGTATCTATATTTTTGGTTAATGATAATCTATAATTTAGTATAATTTAGTTACACTAAGACTAGTATTAGTTTATTACTAAATTAGTATTCACAAATAAAATAATAAAATAATTTGAGTTCACAATTTATTAGAGATAACAAATGTGTCCATAATTTATGAATGGTTTGCATGCAATGTATGTCTCGATTGCACACAACTTTCATATTTTGATGAATGTTTAGCTCAAAGAATAATAATTACTTCCTTTTAAGAAACGATTTGCAAATTAATTTATTTCGTATAATATTAACAATAATTATTATATAATAAACTTTGTATTTACTTTTTATAGTAATGTTTTGTTTTGAGTTATTATTTCTTTAATTTTCAAACAATTTGTAGAAATATTTTCAGTGAATGTATTTAAGACGAAAGACTTTACCTCTAAATCATTATGAAAATTATGCTTAACTCTAATGGTTTGTAATTTACTAAGTTTTGACAATGAATTCAAAACATTTATTTCTACATTGGATTTGTATTGTAAGCAAAGGTACTGAAGGTTTGGTAGATTCGTGTCTATATTATTGTAGAAATCATTACAAACATAAAGATTTGAATCAAAATTTTCTTTAAAAGTTAAATGTGTTAATCGTTTACAACTATTCAGCGATTCACTCATTAATTCATATTTTTCATCAAAATAAGCAACAATTTCCAGTCGTTTTAGTTTACAAAAATATTTATTAATTGTTTCCATGATTTCATTCATAATATTCGTGGACTTCATATCCAATTGATTCAGTGATAGTCTCTTAATATGCTTACAATTGATCCCGATTTGCATGAATTGATTTACAAATACGACATTATCCGGACTATCGATGAATAATAAGCCATTAATTTGTAAGTCTATTAATCCAAGCATTTGTGACAAACTATTCATTAGCGCATGAGATGGTTGTCCCCACGGAATGGTCACATGAATTGATTTCAATTGTTTGCCGTATATTTGCGAAAATAAGTCAAAATTCTTGACTTCTTTCGGATCGTAAAGGAAGGAAAAATAAATTAATTTCTTAAATATAAACTCATTTTTATCGCTAAATATCATTGAGAATACAGAATATTCTTGGCGTATATTGCTATCAATAGTAATTTTTGTCACATTTTCACATAATTTAATGTTTTTCGAGATTAATTTATTAAGCAATTTATGTGAACTTATTTGATACTCAATTGAATTCAAATGTTTGCTATACTTTTCAAACAACGAGTCAATACTCGTGGTGTTTATAAAACGGTTCACTTTTATGGATATATCACTCAATTGACGGCAATATTTGAATATCAAGTCAAACAACTGTTTGTTTAAATGTATTTTATAACACAATACAATGTTTTGGATATTTTGACACTTTTTTAGCTTGGATTCAAATACGGCATCAATTTCATCGGAATTAAAGTTTTTTGTTAATTTTGTTATCAATTTGCTGTCAATTGTGAGCACAGTTTGTCCCCTATATATGACTCGTTGCCATTGAGTGGACACACATTCACATCGGAATCGGTCCTCAAATGATAGGAAAGACAGTAAGTGTTGACACAAATCGTCACCAAATCTGTCCAAAGAGTCTGAAGCATACATTTGTATAGCATTTGATTCAAGTCTGAAATGATCGTCA